GAAATAGTTATTTACTGTATAAGTGTTTTAAGTAGCAAATTATCCACGCAAGAATGTTTAATTAATTAATATACTTAAGTGGATAAAAGGCAATTAAAACACGAATGCAATACAACGTTTTATCTATAATCACATCACAATCATATTTTAATCAATGAGAGTTATTGGAATTTAATAAAAAAATATTCGCACGACTTGATATTTCTTATTAGTACTCAATGAAACGTGGTAGGTTTTGTTATACCTACTGGTTGCTATGGTACGTTGTTTATTATGAATTATTTAATAAACAGTTCTATCTGAATTTGGTAAAAATGCATGAAAGTAATTGTGTTCCTATGGCTGTTTTTGAAGACGCTCAAGAACCAATTTTCCATTCATTGCCAGCGAAATCCAGGGAACGTTACGAAAAGGTATTTGCCGAATTTAACGAATGGAGGGAAAACGGAGAGTAATGACAATAAATGAAGAAGTAATTTTTTTAAATTTGAAGAAAAAATATGCAATTTCAGCTATGTGGTCGAAGTATTCCATGTTGAAAGCTACTATACAGATCTACAAAAATATAGATATTGGAAAATATAACAAGCTTACTGCTTATTTGAAGAGGATAGAAAGCAAAAAAAGCTGCAATATTGGAAAGAGCGCATATTGAAGAATATTTGACTGGGGCTTCCGATAAGAATATTTAATGATTAAGGTAATATCTCTTTACCTTTACATGTTGTTAGGTATATAATAATGGCGGTTTATGGTGCCTGTCCATGCTGCGAAATTTAAAATTTAGTGACGTATTGTCACCGAATCCGAGACTTTGCATTAAATCTAATGTAAAATAAATACAAAATCATCGTAGACAGCGAAAACACGGCGACATCGCTGTCATCAGTAAATAAGTTAAAATTTAGATAGTGACAGACATAAATACGAATCGACTACTGACTCTCAGGCCACGGTAAATCATAACTCAGACTATTATTTCAGTAGCAAATCAATTTAGAAAGTTTTGTGAATTTTTTTTTACAAAAAAAAAGCAATACGAAGTTCTACGCCTTCCCAGGAGTATTACTAGCCGCGGCACCGAAAAAATTGTGCAACAAGAATCCAGTAAGAAACGGAGACGTAGAAAGTATAGGACGATGGCAGTTACTTACTTGTTTCAATACCTGACACCAAGACGGACATTTCAAGAAAATTTACAATTATAGAAGAAGGATTTTGCGGGAATGCTGTTGAAATATGCAGCAAATATATTTCTTTGCGCCCAATTCGCCTAACACAAGATAGTCCAAGAGAATTAAGCTCAAAACCTTCGAGATATGGCTGTTGCTTGACGTAGATTAGATATTAGTAAAAATCGGTCGAAAATAATATATGCAATGAAAATATAAGGTTGCGCCAAGAAAAAAAGTTTTGCTATTTGCAGAAAAAAATAAAAACTGCAAAAATACTCAAAAATGACGTGTTTTTTCTAACATTTTCCAACATCACTTCTTAAATATGCAGTTTACAGATAAAACTATTACTGATGAAATTGTTTGTTATGAAATTTGCTACAAGATAGAATTGTTTTGATACCTGCGCATATCATATTTTTGTTGCTAAATAGCTAAAACAACGTAAGAAAATGATGAAAATCGAGGTAATTTGGAAGCGTCAAACTGACAGGCAAGAAATTGTCCAATTCTACTATAAATGTAGATGTAAGTACTTTAAACGATTATAAAACGAAATTCCAAAATCCGATCCAAATCGGTCTGATAGTATTGGTATGAGACAACTTGTTACTAAATTTCAGCGCGAAATGTCGTTATTTTTTTACGTGAGTGCTGGGGTATGGGCATGCAAAGTTAGGCATTTTAATTGGCGCTGATTTTTTTACACTTACTTGGACCCCTTAACAATCATACAGAATCGTTAGAATATCAAATTTCTTTTTTTGAATTTTTTGAGCGAATTTAAAAGTTATAAAAATTTGGACTTTATAAACAAATATTTTCTTGAAGCGGTTTTGCGGGTTGGAAAATATACCAAAGTACTAAAAAACAGTTCTCGGAAGGACGCTTAACTTGAAAAAAAGAACGTTCAAATCGGTACTATAAGTTCCGAGATGTAGAGGGTCAAAGTCAACAAGTGCTTGCTGCAAAATGTAACAACAATAAAAATTGAATTTGGTAGGTTTTTTCAAGAACTTTCCGTATGTGTTTTTATAAATATGATTGCACGTGTGCTTTTTTTTATGAAAATTCGATGAATATCGCCAAGCCGACCATTTGTGCCGCAAAACCGAGGGGTGGGGATGAATTATAGAAACTGAAATCGCGCGTTCAAAAAAAGCGCGCGCTCTTCGGCGTTCAGTATCTCGGTTTCTATGGCTCCGATTTTGATGATTTTTTTTAATCGATAAAGCAAAATGAGAGGAATTCAATTATGAAGATTTCATTAAAATATTATAAAGCCATTTTCTGTCTATTACGACTACTTAAAATTTCTCACATTTCATTGTTATACTGTATATTAATGTAAATAATAATATCGATGATAGGATATAGGTACATAATCCACTGTCAATATGTATTAGTTTTAATAATTACGTGGTAATAATTGTTTGAATTAAAACGCGACTAAGCCACACAGCGCATGACGAATAGGTCTGACCGAGCCCTACAGTGGAGCCGTGAGGACGCAACCGCCAGTGCCAGTGCCAGTAACAGCGTCTAGTACGAAGCACGCTCCGTTGTTTATACATTACGTTCATATTATCAGTTATTACTTATTATCAATAAAAATTTTTGTATTTTTCAACGTTAGTAGTTGACGATCCAGACCTTACAGTCCATAGCAAATTATCCAAATAACATTGGTCCTGGAAGCGAGCCGAATTAAAGCGTGAGAGATCACCGTGAAACGAAGAATTCGACGTCGCAGCGTGAAGAACGACAGTTAAAAAGTGGGTCCTTTCCATATTATTCCTAGTGCATGCAGTTAGGGACGCCTTGTTTGAACAGATAGCGTAAGACGATCTATTATCAAATCGGTTTATTTGAGCATTATCATGGAGCAATTAATAAGACAACGAGGTTCTAGGCAAAATTAACGATTTTTGAGAAATATATCAATAATTTAGAATCAAGCTATTCATCGTTCAAAATCGATAACGAAAATACATTTTTAGAGCTAGAACAGCGGTTGGAACGGTTCTTTAACGTCTTAAATGAATTTGAAGACTTACAGGGTCAGATCGAGATTCTTAGCGAGGAGTTTGACGCGCAATATGCGATTCGTGAAACATTTGAGACGGCCTACTACGCTGTTTTAGCCAAAGCAAAGAGATTCATGAACAACAATGCATTGTCATTCGTACGTCAGTTCGGCGGCGGTTCGGGATCGTCGACGCGGGGTTCGGGCGGCTCGGTGGTCGGTGCGGATGTAAATAGTGATGGGCATAATCGACCAATTTTGATAATCGAGTTATCGGTAATCGAGTACTTCTAATAATCGAGTGATCACTCGAGATACGAGATATTGGTCGTTTTCATCCCAGCGGCGCACAAATATGTTTGTATTAATCATATATTACTTATAAGCGTAGCTTAAAAAAAAAAAGCTCACGCACTTCAAAACCTAACCACATTTTCGTTTTATTCTAAAAAAAAGGTTACGCACTCAATGACTATTTGCAGTATGCACTATCATTTTGGGGTGCAACCGTAGGGTAATAATCACTCGAGTGGTGGGAGTAAACATCTCGAGATATCTCGAGTGATCTCAATAATCAAGTACCACTCGATTTTTCACTCGAAATCTCCCATCACTAGATGTAAACAATCAGTCGAATAGCGACGCCTGTAACGGAATAAAACTCCCGGTCATCGAAACAGCTACGTACACTGGGGAATACGACAAATGGTTAGAATTTCGCGATAGGTACGAATCACTAATACACAAAAATTCCAAGCTGTCTAATATTCAAAAATATCACTACTTGCGTTCGTATTTAGGCCTTAGCGTACTCGAAATAATAGCGAGTTTAGATTTTTCTGAAAACAATTACGAGAATGCCTGGCAACTTATTTGTGATCGGTTTAACAATAGCAAAATTCTCATTCAAAATCACGTAAAGGCTCTATTTAACATAGGACACTACCGAATCTTTAAATGCGTTACGAAAACTCGTAGACAATGTTGCCAAGCATCTCAGGGCTCTCAAAACATTAAACGAACCGACAGAAGCATGGGACACGCTGGTCATATACTTAATATCGACAAAATTAGATGAAATATCGCTTAGAAAATGGGAACAAACAAAAGCTTCTCACAAAATACCGACTTTAGAACACTTAGGCACCTTTTTAAAGGAACGAGCGAACCTTCTTGAGTCGCTAGAACAAAGTAAAGTTAACGATAATCAGCAATCATTTAAACATGATAAAATTTAATCTTTTTATTCCGGTGATCAGACAACAAAACGCAAGTGTCTGTTTTGCGAAAAGGAACATTATATTCAGGAATGCTCCACGTTTTTAAAACTAAGTGTAACGGACAGAATTGAACAAGCTAAACAAAAGCGACTCTGTTTGAATTGCTTCCGACCGGGTCACTTATATAAACATTGTTTCTCCGGAACGTGTAAGACGTGTAATGGGAAGCACAATACCTTATTGCATAAGGGTTACGAAAATAAACCGCCTGATAAAATTAATGACAATAGCAAGAGTTCACAGGCAGAAATCGTTAGTTTATCGGCACGTAGTGCAAAGGGGAAGTACCAGGTACTTCTGTCAACTGTACTCGTGAACGTTTTCAATGCAAACAATAAATCTCGTATGGCTCGTGCACTTTTGGACGTAGGTTCTCAAAGTAGCTTTATAAGTGAATAATTGCAATTACCCAAAATTCCTTTAAAAATCAAGGTGTGTGGGCTTAACGAAACGCAGTCTGAATGTACGGGTAAATGTTATGTACGAGTACAATCGCGAATGAATACGTTTTCAATCAAAATGTCGTGTTTGGTAGTACCGCAAATAACGGAAGCGTTACCGAATTTCAAGGTTGATAAGCATAATCTAAATATTCCTGAGAATGTAAGACTGGCAGATCCACAGTTTGACGTGCCCGGTGGAATCGATATGTTAATCGGTGCGGATTGCTTCTGGGACGTCATGTGCGTAGGTCAGATAAGGTTAGGAAAACAAGCCCCTTACTTACAAAAAACGAAGTTTGGTTGGGTCATGTCTGGACGCGTAGAAACGACTTCAAATAGCTTTATACAGTGTAGCCTATCAACGAATAGCGGTGTTGACAAGCAGCTTTCGCGGTTCTGGGACTTAGAAGAATTTCCACAAAGCAAACTTTTGTCCGATGAAGAGAGGGCTTGCGAAAAACATTTTGTAGGAACCTTCACGTGCGATGCAAACGGGCGATTTGTTGTTACGATACCGTTATTTGACAGTCCGGAAAAATTAGGCGATTCCTATGAAACGGCAAAAAATCGTCTATTTAGTTTAGAGCGGAAATTCAAACGTAATGAAAACTTTAAGGCAAAATACGTGAAATTTATCGACGAATATAGGTCTCTAGGACATATGCTAAAGTTAAATACCGACGATGAAACCAAACCAAGGTATTATATGCCGCATCACGGTGTCGTTAGGGAGGGTAGCCTGACCACCAAACTCCGCGTAGTCTTTGACGCTTCGTGCCCCACTACAAGCGGCTACTCATTTAACGATTTACAGATGACGGGACCTAGTATTCAGTCCGACATATTTTCGATTCTTTTGCGTTATCGTAAATACAACTTCGTGATCGCCTCAGACGTGGAGAAAATGTATAGAATGTGTAATATTAATGCGGAACAAACGCCCTTACAAAGAATCCTATGGCGCGATAATAGCAATAATCCTACCGAAATTTAAGAACTACAAACAGTGACATATGGCACCCGATCCGCTTCGTACTTGGCAATTAGGTGTTTGTACCAACTCGGATTAGAATGCGAACGAGAACTTCCGGATGCCTCACGCGCTATCAGGGAGGGTTTCTACGTCGATGACCCCTGCTAACAGGTTCTGATACGGTGCAGGGTACAATTTCATTAGCGAACAACATTTCAGAAACACTCACCAAAGCGGGATTTCATTTGCGCAAGTGGATATTCAACAGTTGTGAAGTATTACAGAGTATTCAAACGGTCGATCGAACAGACACAATCGATGTAGGTGCAAATGAAAACACCAAAACTTTAGGATTACTTTGGAACGGTCAAAGAGACAATCTTTTGTACAAAATAGGTACCAACTTTAATACACGCATTACGAAGCGCACAGTTTTGTCGGAGATTGCTCAAATCTTCGATCCCATCGGTTTGCTCAGTCCAATTATCATAGTAGCTAAAATCATTTTACGGGACATATAGTTGGAAGGAATAGAATGGGACAATTCCTTAACACATTCGTTACACACAAGATGGATACAATTTCGTGATGACTTGACTTCGTTGAATAATCTTGCCATAGAACGACAATTGACATGTAACGACGCAATATCTATCGAGATTCACGGATTTTCTGATGCGTCTATGAATGCATACGGCACGTGCATGTACGTTAGGTCGGAAGCTAAATTCGGTGAAGTTTCGGTAAGATTACTATGTGCCAGGTCAAAGATAGCACCGGTGAAAACTCAAACTGTGCCTAGATTGGAGTTAATGGCTGCAGTTTTATTAGCTAGGCTGATCGATAAGGTTAAAATTTACCCATCAAAAGGACGGTTTATTGGTGTGACTCGACGATTGTTTTGGGGTGGTTGAATACGTCTCCAAATCTGTTACAAATTTTTGTTGCAAATCGTGTTTCAATAATACAAGAACTCTCGAATGCTGGAGATTGGAGTCACGTGCCGACACAAGACAACCCAGCTGATTGTGTATCACGAGGCGTCATGCCCACCAATTTAGTGTCACGGAAAATTTATTGGTTTGGTCCTAAGTGGCTGAGTCAGAATCAAAATTATTGGCCAGAGACATGCTTTGCTGAGCGCAACCTACCCGAATTAATAGACCGGGAGATATTAGACTGAAGTTCGACGACGTCTTTCTCGTTTACACCTCTGAGAGTACTGAAAGGTAACCGAGAGACAAATACAATGAACTAAATTTAAAAGATTGGCTGCGGGACACCTTTGTGAAAATTCAATTTTCCGTTTCAAAAAAATAATGTGTAGAGGTCTTTTAATATCTCATGAGCCGCGAAATGCGCGAAAGGCGTGGCGTATCCCCATAATTCTTCTAATAAGCACGTTGTGAAAACATTGACTCAGAACTAGACCATGTGCATCAATACAAGTAGACATGAACTAAGGCGCTCGGGCATCAATAAAGTCAACTGGCGAACGTTCGTTATATATTTTTATTGTTTAAATTAAAATAATAAAGAATAGGGCATTTTATTATGATATTTGTAATCGGATCAAAGGCTTGTTTACGCTAGAGCTCGAGAGAGACTGTGAATAATAGGTGTAATGTTTTTAGGACGTAGAATAATTTAGGCGACGGTCGGAATTATGTTTCTGCGCATATGAAGGTCAAAGTTCATAAGATTTTAAAACATCTCTACAGCGACGTATTTCTCACTTATGCCTTGTTCGTAAGTTGAAGAGAAGTATCGATTTTATCACAAAATTTTTTTGGCATAAGTGTCGCAAGGGACCTAAAAATGGAAAACTTTGTAAGAAAATGTGGAAAAACATCTTTATTTGTCTACCAATTTCTCATTAATGCCAATTAGAAATATGACATTATTATATTCGAAAAGCTCATAAAAAACATTGACATAAGTCCTAGTAAGTACTAAAGAAAATAGAGCTTTGGAAAAGTTGCGGAAAATTTTTATTTTCATTCTATAACTTTCTCATTTATGGCGTTGAAAATTTATGATACTTACTATAAATAATGTACTGTGTCAAGTAGGCATCACTCTGTATCTTGCTCGGCTACTCATATGGAGCGGGGTACAGAGAGTATTTAGTTAAACGCCGTTGGTTGTTTTTATTTAATAATAGATTTTATTTCCTACCTTGAACTCGGTACAAACTCCAAAACATGAAAACAACAACTAGGTACTAATGGTACTTAACTAACATAACCTGCGATGCGAACCGCTCCACGGTCCCACACAGTCTCTCTCAACTATCCGCACACCGCACACTTCCCCACAGTCACCTCCTCTTCTTCTTCTAACACTCACTGCTTTAACCACCTTAACCTACTAGACATATAAATATTAACATACAGAACCTATTGTCACTTCACATTACCCCCTATTAAATTAAACAATAACAGAGTAAGTACTTGTGAGATTTAATACTTTAAATAGTATTATTGGTTTCTGTATGTTCACAGGTAATGTATGGCTTAAGATTATAAATATTTTGTGTACCCAGGGAAGTACCCGTGGTATCATCCTTAATCTCATAAGAGTTGGGGCCCTTAATATCCACAACAGTACCAGGACCGGTATATAACAGGAAGAATTTCTTAATTTTTCTATCGTCAGCCGATGACTGCGGGTGGGTTCGTACTAAAACCTTATCACCCAAGTGTAACTGTACTAACTTTTTGTTTCTATTATGACGAGACTGTCGCTTTTGAGCTTTAGATAACAACTGATCATGCGCTAACATTATTATTTCGTTTCGCGTCAACTCAGGGAATTCGGATTCTGGATACCTAATATTTTTAGTAAAATTATCCTTGGAAATCCTTCCAAAATGCAGAAATTTTGGTGCCAAATTGGTACCACTGTGTACGCCCCGATTCAACCACTTTTCAAGGTCCTTCAAAATGATTGCCCATTTGGTATGTTTAGAGAAACAAAAACTTCTGAGCAACCTTACAATTTCCCTATTTACCCGCTCTGTTAAATTACCTTGCGGATAATACACAGACGTATGGACCACTTTAATGTCGTGTTCAGATAGTGTATTTATCCACAGTTTACTGCTAAATTGCGTCGCGTTGTCCGAGAGAATATAACGCGACTTTCCAATCGTAACGAAATATTTATTCACCAGACAATGCAAAATCGCCCTGGTTGTTGCGCGTTTCAAAGGGTAGAGCGCTACATGTTTACTAAAGGCGCCGACTACAACCAACAACTGAGTCGCACCGGCCCTTGAAGTAGGTAATGGACCCATTAGATCCAAACAAACCTTTTCATTAATATCATTGGGTGTCAAGCTATGCATTTCGCCTATAAGATGTTTAGATACCTTTGCTTTCTGGCACAAGTCGCAACTGGATATTAATTTTCTACACATGTAATCCGAGGCCAAAAATAATATTTTTGTAGTTGTTTCAAACATTTTTCTGCACCGAAATGTGCTCCTTCGATACTATCGATGGCACTACCGAAATCGGTAAACATAATTTGAAATCAGGGTTCAAATTCGTAAACAATAACTCGTCATAAATAACAAACCAATCGCGAGTCCTAGACGGTGCATTTAAATCTGTTAACTCGTTCCGAATCCTCCTACAAAAAACATCGTTTTCTTGTAAAGTACGCATTTTGATACTAGATATGGTCTCATAACGATCTTTAATTGGTTTTAATGCTCCAATACAAATTTCCGTACTTTCGGGTACTTCTACACACTGATCACTATTTTCTTTGATCGGATAACGCGATAAAGCGTCCGCTAAAACATTCTCCGAACCCTTACAATGCTGAATTGTGAAATTATACTCCTGCAAATAGAGTATCCACCTAGAGAGCCTAGAGTTCAAAAGTCGACATGATTGAATAAATGATAAAGACTTATGATCCGTCAATATCGTAAGCTCCCTCCCCAAGACGAAAACACGCCATTTTCTCAAAGCTACCAACAATGATAACGCTTCTTTTTCTGTAACTGTATAGCGCAACTCGGGGCCATGTAACGTACGGCTAGTAAACGCTATTATATTTTTATTACCGGTGTCCGGGTCTAATTGAAATAGATAACTACCGACAGCATCCCCAGATGCGTCACACTGTATATAAAACCGTTGACTGTTATCTGGATGCTTCAGCATAGTAACTTGTACAAAAGCTTTTTTAATTTCCTCGAAACTCTCATTTTCGGTAGGTCCCCACTTCCATACCTGATTTTTCTTTAACAACCGAATTAACGGAACAGTAAGATGAGAAAAATTCTTACAAAAACGTGAATCATAATTGACTACCCCCAAAAATGACTTTAAATGTTTAATATTCCTAGGTACTGGAAATTTTTCAATGGCACGAATACGTTCCGGATCCATCCGGATTCCATCTAAATTTACAAGGTGGCCAACAAATGACACTTCCGACCTTGCGAACTTTGATTTGCGTAGCTTAACAGTAATGCCAGCATGACGAAATTTTTCAAAAATAATATTCAGATGATGCAAATGCACCTCTGGTGTTTCTGAATATATTAGTAGGTCGTCCACGTAAGGAATTAACCAACCGTTAACATCCGAGCCTAATATTTGAGTTAAACCTCTAATGAAACTCCCCACACTCGTAGATAAACCGAAAGGCAAAACCTGAAATACATACGTGTGGCCCTCGTATATAAAACCTGTATATTTCTGATGTTCAGGTTTGATTGGTATTTGCCAATACGATGCCGTGAGATCTATCGTACTGAGACACTGCCCCTTTATAAATTCATACAAAAAATCGTTGGGATTCATTGGCATAACATGGTCCTTCACCATTCGTGCATTAAGCATTCTCGCGTCAAGACACACCCGTATCGAGTTGTCTTTTTTTTCACTACAACTAGCGGACTTATATACTCGGTTTGACATAAACGTATGACCCCCTCGTCTATCATTTCTTGTATTTGTCTACGTACCTCTTCGTGGTACGCATGCGGAATAGAGTAAGAC